AGTCATGCAACCATCATCTACAACTTCTACCTGTTTCGTCTAACAGTAATCTGGATTTTAGGTAGTTTTGGAACCCACAGTGGGAGTCGTAAATCGTCAAGATTCCAGAGAACATGATACAATCAAGGTGTTCTGTCCAAGAGAACTGTGGGAAGCACTTTAACTTGTAGTGCAACGCTGACGGACAGTAGTCGTCTCGTAAGACCGCTAAGGCTTGCGACCTACTTACAGGCAGCTGATTTGCCAAACTGTCCAACCACGCCTGACGGTAGTAATAATCTGTAGTAGGTGCTTATTTATTCGGCGGACTCAAGGGTCTGCTTACTTCGAAGTAGGCTTGCAGCTAAGACCATTTCATTATCTGTCTGTTAGAAAAGCGGAAAATTCCGAAAAAGTGGTAAATTTAGTTTACTATGTCAATTTAAGTTTTACATGTAGAGATAGCCTATTCATGCAAAAAAAAAATGAATAAAGCAGCACAAGTAGGATTTATATTTGAAAATACTCCTTCTGGTAAAGTGTTGGAGATAGATTCTCCCATATTACGCTAAAGCATGGCCATCTTCAAACAGTCCAAAGTTCGACTATTTATTCCAACATGCTTTCACGAAAACTGCCCGTTGTTTCTTTCATTCGTAAATTGTTTGAGATATGTTGGCCTAAAGCAACCAAATTCTCGCTTGATTATGCCGATTGCGACGTCACAGGAATATTCCATAAGCTCACACTTAGATATTTCGGTCAGTAACTAATGCATTTAAATAGAATTGTAAGGTGCAACCGTAAACATACCATTTTGTGTACATTAAGAGGAATTGTCATTTCGTCACTTTTCTTTATAATTATTTCGGGTTTTTGATTACGGCGAGTTTCAGATCGCTCTTGAAATAGTGCTGAATACTTTTCGAGTTTCAATGTTCTCAGTCGATTGTCGATAAATACGGATTGTGTCCTATATGTTTATCAAAACCTTCAACACAAGATATTTCTTTAAAACATTTACCGAAGTAGTGGGTTTTGGACCGCACCAAACCATGTGAATTCAGTATCGAGAAAAAGAGCGTTCATAATAAAATTCCCAAATTAACAGGCCTAAGGTCAGTTAACAACTATAACAAGTTATCTCTTCAAAAGCGTTTTAATTAGATATTTCGATGTCGAATACCTGCATACTTAACCTTTTGTGAAGGTTACGTCAGGGAAAAATGGGAACGTTTGGCTGTTTTTTGACTTCCCGGAAAATTAGAGATTAACCTCCTGCTGAAACTGAAAGAACTCACTTTTCTACTTATACTGGAACAGTTTTCGGTGTGCTTTCTCTTTTTACTTCTAAGATTGCAAACACTCATCAGAGGGGCAGAATATATACCATGATTTTGCAAAAACTGGCAATCTGTCCGTTCCGTTAAATGCTCCCGTATTCGTTCATGGTCAATTATGCATAGAAATTGTTTGGACATTTTTCGTGTATGGCGTGGCATGTCACGGTAGTTCATATGTATGCTTGTTTACGGTCTCTTTTATCAGTGTGGCAGAACAAACTACAGGCAACCAAGTTTATTACTTGGGTTAATGTTGCCCGCCACGCCTGAATTTGTAGACTCAAACTTCATACAGGCTACCTTTGTCGTCTACTTTCCTTATTCTTATTTTATTATGTCGCAGATACTGTCTGGGGTACCACTTAAAAAGCTAGGAGGCCATCTAGGTAGAACACTGTTTTATTGCCGTCTCTCACAGCGTAGCCATACTTGGAAAGTTCTTTGTGAAGACAATCTGTCTTGGACCAAATTTTCGTTTTCTTTTAGCTCGTCTTAACAGTAAATCCCCGATAAACACCGAGACATTATCTGACAGCTTTTCACTACCAGAAGTGTCCTCCATCTGCCAACTCTTATCTTCCGCGGCTCTTCTAAGCCAACGATAATTTGGGTCTGGAAGAGTAATTTACCGCTGCATTCCCGTTTGACTTTTTGAGGTTTCGACCAGAGGTTTAATAGAGGTCAAAGCCTACGGTTTGACCACCCCGCCTTGCAGTTGCTGTTTTACGAAAGATTTGGATTTCGCCAACTGGTGCCTCCCGCGCATACTTCATACAGTTGAACCTATCTTAACTGTGGGGTCTAACTTCTGATTGGAGTCTTCTGCTGTTGGTGTAGTGAAAAGTGAGAACTTAGGAGGTT